ACCGGGGCACGGGTGTAGGTGCGAGGAGGAGGTTGGGGTCTGGCCTCTGCCCACAAGTCCCGGAGGAAAGGAAGCGGCGCTGGATGTGTAACCGTGCCTGGGAGGTTGCAGCGCTGGCATCCCCCTCAAGGGGCCCAGCTGCGAGGGCGGCTCGCTTTGCTCTAACGCTCTGTGGTTATTTACACAGATCAGCATCGCGTTAGGATGCCACAGGGCACCCTCGGCTGCCCTTCTCTCCCAAAGGTCTCGTTTCTTGCTCGTTTCCCAATTACAATCTGGCACAGCTGGCAAGACCTCAATTCCTAATGCTCAAACCGAGCAGAACCCATCTGGCTCTGGGCAGGGCAGCGACCTGTTATCTTTCCCGGTTTTGGGTCCTTTTGGCTGAAAACAAACACGGAAGGGTGAGGGGGATCCCTTCACCCTGTAGGACATGTTTTGCAAGCTCTGATGCTGCCCATATGAGATCCTGCCTGTGCCCAGGGTGAGGGCTTCTCGTGGGAACATCCCCTTACGGGGGACAGGACAAGACAGCCGCAGCTGAGGCAGGGGCAGAGCTGTGGCTGGGGGCTGGCAGGATGGTGACACAGGTCACGCACCCTCCAGATCCCTGCCTTATGGGGTGCACCAGGTGCCGAGGGGCACACCGAGCTGGAGGAGGGGTTGAGGATCTCTTTCCACTGACCCAAACTGAGCCCTGTCCCGCAGCCGGTCTCTCCCCATGCAAGGTGACCCTCCTGATTAGGAACGCGTCGACTGGAGCAGTGATCTGCTTACGGCGCGAGCAGGCATGCCGCGGTAATCCCATTAGCATTGCAAATCCTAAATATAGCATCGCAAATCTATCTTGTCTGCTTCCCCGGCCCCAGCGGGATGCTTGCCGTGGGGACCGCTCCTTACACACGGTGTCTCGGAGCAGCTCAGGAGATGTCTTGCCTGTGCCGGGGAAGATTCCCACACGCAGGGAGAAGCTCGGCTCTGCTCCCTACCCCTCAGCGACCAGGAGAGCCCAGCGCAGGCTGCGGGAAGGCTCTGCTCAGGCCCTGGGGAGCTGCACGGTGCGGGGAAAGCACAGGGCAGAGCAGGGCTGGGCCCTGGGGCAAGAAAGGTGGTTCTCTAGGCACGGTGCTTTGTGAGGTGGGGACCAGACTGAGCTCGAGAGCTGCTCACTAAAGCACTGATCTCCACTGCACCCCTGCAGGGCACCAGGGAGCTCCAAACCTGGCTGCTCCCCAGCTGCGGGAGGCAGTTTTGGGTGATGCCAAAGGCGTTGCCGCTCTGCCTGGGGTCAGCGGTGCCCAGGGTTGGCTGCTCAACCCGTAGGATCCCCTGTGCCTGGCTTCCCCTAGCTGAGCAGAGCAAGGACAAGCCAGCCCCGCTTCGTGCTCAGGCACCCCTCGCCCTACCAGCCCACCTGGGAAAGCATCCCCGCCCCTGGCAGCTGGGTACTCACGCGCCACACTCCACCTTCAGGGAGCGGATGTTGTCAAAGCCGCACTCCATGATGTTTGGGCAGGCCGAAGTGAACTCCATCCTCTTGCCCTGGAAATTTTCTTGGTCGTACACAGTGATCTGGAACGGAGAGTGAGCTGCCGAGTTGGGAACTGCCTGGCAGTGGCCCCGAGCGATTCAGTGCCTCTTCGAGACGGGAGGGTCACATTCTGTCTGGGCAAGAGCTGGCGGAGGCCGCACTGGGCACCCTTCTGGGCTGGGACGC